GTGGCCCTGGATCTTCTCTGGTATACTATCCCTTTATTTCGGCCAATTTCTACTATTTTTCCAGCGATCCGCGGTGCCTGGTAGAGGCTAGTAGTTTTAGGTTACAAGCCATCCAGTTCTTTAACAGGGCTCCTTAAACATGCTTGCCTGAAAATCCAATTAATGTACTGTACAATGTCATGTAATGAGCCCTGTTGCAAGTTGGATAGCAGTGGGTCAGACAGGCCACATTTTAGGTTCCTTTCTGTTGAGATCATAATACCAAGGACCTCCTTATGTAATGTCCTTGAAATTAAGTCAACACATCTTACTCAAGAGTAGTTACTCTATTCCAGTGTTTTCTGTAATATCTTGCTTCTAGATCACAAGGTTGGGGTTCAAATCCCATCCTAAATCTTAAGTCCAAGAAGAGTAGTTAGTAAGCTACCAGTACAGCCGATCAAGAAGACCAGGTCACCGGGTATCCCTACTCTTTTCGATAAGTGTGTTGGATTCTTTTACATGTTTTTTGGCGACGCCTCAGGGGCGGAGCCGTTGGTATAGTACTGCGATTGAGTTGAAAATATTATAAGAATTCCACGAATACATTCCCCAGGGAATTAAATTTTGTCAACATGATAACTCAAGAACTGCTGGATGGATTGGTTTCATACTTGGTGAGTTGGTAGGGTGTGACTAAATCTAGAAAAGATAAGATTTTGGGTCCCCTAGTGGCTTCCCTTGGAATGATCATCACTCACATCAAAAGAGAATCACGTCGCTGAGGCGTGTTTTAAACGCCACTTTATTAAACCTTGTTTGTTTTGCTGCAGCTCCCATCTCCAGTGCCCTGAGTAAGCTGACCAGCTGCCGTGTAATGGTGTTTACTGGGGGTGTCCTGGCAGCCGTGGGACTTGTCATCAGCTCGTTTGCCACCAGCGTCATGTATTTACTGGTCAGCCTGGGACTTTTCACAGGTAACATTATCTCTATCCTCTCCTCCTAATAGACCTGTTTACCTTTCTTGGATTGCAAGAACTGCTTATGTCACAGGGCCTATCAGATCAAGGAAGGGACCAATGAAGCCCTGGATAACAATTGAGTTTAATTGTGTTATACATAGTAGTCCCTTGATCATGAAGGGAAGGGTCATAGTCACAGGCTTTAGGAAAAGGGCTTGTTACAAACCCATTTCAAATTATATTTTTAACATCACTAAGAAACGAGAAGAAGCCAGACCTCTGTATTAGAGTAGTTTTAGAGCTGTTTGTACTACAAACATGTATATTACCTATTTCATCTGTTCACCTGTACTTAGCCCGATAGGGCATGAATGTACAATAAAGGTTATATGTCAACAGTTATTCCCTGCATTAGCATTAAGTCCCATCTTGGCAGGCAGAGCGTACATGTAGGCTAGGTAAATGCAGTTTGATCCATTTGCTTGCTAGTTTCAACCCGTTGTCATAAGAAAGACAGTTCTGCAGGAAATTTGTCTGACGGCATACCATGGACTCAAAACTAAATATTGATTTTGAATTTTTTGTGTTGTCAGGATTTGCAATGTCGCTGATGTACGCGCCATGTCTGACGATGGTGGGACGCTACTTCGACAAGAGGAGGGCGACGGCGAATGGAATCGGATTATCTGGGAACGGAGTGGGTATGTTCACCCTGTCTCCCCTGTATCAAGTTCTGATTGATGAGTTTAGCTATCGAGGAGCACTTCTGATAATCGCTGGCATCACCCTTCATGGATGCATCTGTGGTGCCTTACTGAGGCCCATACATCTGAGGGAAGACCGGGAACACAAAGCCGCACTGGACCAAAGGCAACAAAACATAGTAGATAATTCGCAGTCCTCATTCAGAATGGCTGCTAGCAAGGTCCTGCACGTTTTTGACGTGTCCCTTTTGACGGACATTCCCTTTGCGTTGTTTTCGCTCTCTCATTTCGGGACGGTGCTCGGTTACTCTATTGTATTTGTCCACATGACAAAACACGCGCAAAGCATCGGGGTAGGTAAAACTGAGGCGTCCTTCTTGATCTCGGTGATGGGGATTGGTGAGTTCGTATTCCGGCTGATCGGAGGCTGGTTCGCAGACTTAGGAGTCATGAGTAGACTCCATGTCTATATGATAGGAGTAGCTGGTGTGGGCGTGTGCAATCTGTGCGTGCCTTTCTGTTCGTCATACGCTTCCCTCCTCGTGTACATGGCATTCTACGGTCTCTTCTCTGGAGTGTTCCACGCCTTGATTGCTGTGTTGGTGCGAGAGTACACAGGAGTGGCGCGACTGTCCAGTGGGATAGGATGGACCTTCACAGGAGCAGGGACGGCCTACCTGCTGGGGTCACCTATCGCAGGTATGGCAGCGTATGTCCATTTTACTATCATAGATATATCTTAGTCTACCATCACTATTTACCGTGACCTGTACTTAGTTCACAATGAGCATAAATGTACAATAAAGGTCTTTCATTCAATTAGCTCCAAAAGGAACTTTGCCCTCAAAGTTCTTTTCTTTTTTTCCTAAAACTGTTTAATACCTGTGGGAAACTCATGGATATAAACTGCAAATGTATGTTTCAGTTTTGTTAAGCACTGCAAGCATATCATCGTAAAAACTATATACCCAAACCTGAAATCACAAAACAAAAACAAGACACCTTTCTAATAGTTAATAGAATACTCAATCTACTTTCAACAATGAACCAAACTTTAAAAAAGAACCCAAGACACTTATCGAAAAGACTGGGGTTCACCCCATGTGCTTTACTCAATATGTGAGCCATGCAAAGCTGCATTGCACTACTCCCAACTCCTTGAAAAAGTGTCATGCTTCACCTCAATTGCGGATTCACCTTTTTAATTAACTCTTAGTCGTAATACTATCTACAAAAATGTTGTTACCTTCCAACCCAGGCTGGCTGTATGATGCTACAGGGAACTACAACGTCTCCTTCTACTCTGCCGGAGCCATGATCCTGGCATCTCTCGGCGTACTCTTCCTCGAAAAGTGTGCCAAACACGAGGACCCTGACAGAGAGACGACAGAAGAGGATTCCTCACCACATGAACTCTGTACAGACAGTATAGGGGGAACTGTAACACAAGCAATTCTCACCGAGAGGGAAACAACAGTATAGCATTCTCACTTGGAACCACTTATGACTTCTCAGGATAGTTATGTATATGAGAATGCCATATTGTTTTCAAGAAAATGTGATGAATTTCATCCCAAAGGTGTTAGGTTTTTAATTCAATGCACTGTGTCCTTTACTAGGTCCTAAACTTGCTTCATTTGCATTTTGTAGGACTTTCCTATTTTGGGTTAGTACCTTAAATGGTTTGCAGCAACTTCTTAATTTAAAGCAAGTACATACTGAGATTGGCACACTATTGTACATCATTAAAAGCACAATTTCTCGAGAAAGGAGGCAAAATGCAATACGTCTAGATTTATATACTGTCTCTTAGTATAATTAACAATCATATGATTATTAATCATATCAGAATCTATGGGTTGTTAAAAACAAGAAACCATCACCTTGAATACCTCTAAATCTTGCACAAACCACCGGGTATATTGTTATAATTACTGTTAAATGTGTATTTTTGTACAGCATATTCCTCATGTTGCATGTCTAGAACTCTTGCTCAAGAGCCACATGTTTCTTCCATTAGATTTTACAGAAATATGTGCAAAAGAAATCAGGAATAATCATGGGAAGAAAGAAGGATGCAAAATTAAAACATCCTTGACATAAATCATGATAAAGGTATGATAGGCAAATACAAATGTAAAGTAGTGGCATAATTTACAGCAAAAAGAAAGGTATCTTCAAAGAAATATATTTTTGTCCAGCATCACATGGAAAGTACAATATGCTTTCTTGTGCAATAAAATCATCGTTAAGGTTACTTTATTCATGTTTTGTATATATCTATTACTAACATGTTAGAAGTAAATGTAACTATTGAGGTCAACATTTTAGTGGTCAGTGCCTCAGTGGCCATTGGATTACCTTTAAATTAAAATTTCGATCCCTGAATTGTATAAAGATAATTCCTTTTTAACTAAACTACCTAATAGCTTTTAAGATCTATGATGGAAAAAAGGACCCCTCACTTAAAAATTTACTTTGATATGCCTTGCTTTTATACCCCTAAATAAACTGGGCGCACAAAATATCAATCAAGTGTATTGATAAGCGGGACGGCACCCCTTTCCACCAAAAGAGTGAAAAATTCCGACCCGCGTTTAGTATAGACATGACAGCCCGTCGGGCTGAGGGTGACAAATTCACTACGAACACAGAAGAAAACTCCGGTCCGAGACCTTGACAGAGCTCCGGTTCAAGGTCTCACCTGAGATGACCTCTGACGGGGTGTCACTCTTGTTATTTATTTTTATAGGGGCGATATAAAGGGGCCACGAAATACTAGGAGGCCTAGTGGTCCGGATCTGGAGACACCTGTATGGGTCAAACTAGAACGACTCTGGGACTAGTCATCGGATTAGTTAACGACGTAGGGCATTAATGGCCTTGAAGTGTTAACACTCAAGAGATTAAGACGATTGTAAGTCTGTTGTGCGAGAGAAGAGTTCCGTACGTAAACGAGCGAGGAAGGTAAGGTACAGGATACTGTGGTAAGTACATGTAAGTACTGTGCGCCTTCGTTATGACATAGCTCAACTGTTGAGCCATTTGTACAGTAAACATTATGTAAGAACTTAAGAGTTCTGTATCTGTATAGCCGGTTAATACAATAACCGCCAAACACGCCATTTTGGGCGTAACCATGGCCAGCTTTGTTGTGACATTCAGGTCCACTCAAGGACGACCGGTGTCGTAGCACCCCCCCCCCCCCCGTGATTTCGCCTTCCCCGGGTCGAGATCTCTACCGAATTCGCCCTCCCCGCTAGTGATTTGGTCCCCCTACCTCCCCGCTTTAGGGATTTCGCCCCCCCCCCCCAAATCATTTATTTGCTCGGAAAGTTCGGTTTTAGCATGTCCGAGTACACAGATTTTGTGAATAATTCTAATTTAGTAATTATACTATTTCGTTGTAGTCGGGAAAGTATGTCGTATGTAACGTGCGTTATACACTCTCGACATTATACCAATAAACAGCTCAAATCCTGCGTTGTTGAGATACCAGGTATACTGTTGAGCAGAGCAACCGGGAATACTTCAACCAAGGAGGTTACTTTCTTACTTCAACCGAACCCGTAATAATATCGTTAGAATTGTTAATCAAATTCGTGTACTTGCCATACCTGTGGTTCGGTGTAAAAGAGTAGACCGAGGCCTCGTTCACACTGAACCGCGATTCGGGTAACTCACATTCCCCACATCCGGTCCACGTGCCACACGGCCCTTTCAAACCGTGCCCGATCACGGTTCGATTAATCTACATTTATTGCCGTTTGATGAAAACACGCAATCAAGGTAGCGTGTTATCAATGTCAGAGGCATGCGAAATCGCTAGCAATCTCACGAATCGAAGATCTCATCTCAGTTTCTTGTGGACTTCTTGTTTTATTCATTACTTTCAATTTCTTAGTGACAAAATTCTGTCTTTCCGTTTTCCCACGTATAGCTCGTAAGGACTGCCTGTCAGTGTCCCCGACGCGCCAAGCATGTGGAACTAAGTACAGAAATACAAACACGTACACAGAGACACTTACCAAAATGTCCGAAGTGCGATCCGTTGACAGGCCGCCAGACGGCGGGTGGGGTTGGGTAGTGGTGGCCAGCACGTTCTTCGTTCACGTGCTTGTGATCGGGAACATGCAGTCTTTCGGAGTGTTCTTCGCAGAGTTCCGGGAAGTTTTCCAGGAGGGTGCCGGGATCACGTCCTTCATCAGTTCCATCCTAGGGGGTATGCTGTTGATGTGTTGTGAGTATACACCATACACATGTGATACGCCAATGAAGTTTAGACATCCAGGGGTAACGAGATACACAAAGAAATTGTTACGTAAGCAACTGGACAGATTTTGAAAACTGTGACTATTAAAAAAGTAACGAATGCTACTTGCCAGTTGCTTGAGCAATTATGACGTTTCGTTAAAAGTTTGAAAGATAATTTAACGCTGCCAATAATCAGATTTTTGGTGCCTGACCATGATGCCTAATCTTACAGCTGTGTTTGCCGGTGCTCTGAGCAACCTGACCAGCTGCCGTACTGTGATCATCGCAGGGGGCGTCATTTCTGCCGTGGGGCTTGTCGTCAGCTTCTTCGCACAGACGATGATACACCTGTTCTTCAGCCTTGGGGCCCTCACAGGTCAGTATTTGTCTGCCTCGGTGTTCTTTTTCCGATAACTTGGAAATACATTACATGTATACAACGTCAAGTATCATAAAACAACAGGTGGAGGTTTAACAGGAATGAAAAGTTTCATTTATCTTAATAGAGAATCGCTTACTGCTACATCTGTTTCATGCATGCCTAAATTTAACGAGCTTTTATCGTTATGTTCTTTAGGATTTGGCTTCTCGCTGATGCACTCCCCAAGCCTGGCAATGATTGGACGCTACTTTGACAAGCGGCACGCCACAGCCAATGGAATCGCAGTTTGTGGAACGGGGATCGGCATCTTCGCTTTTCCTCCTCTCTACCAGTTCCTCATCGACGAATTCGGGTGGAGAGGGGCTTTGCTGATTGTGGCCGGCATACCTTTGAACGGCTGCGTCTGTGGTGCCCTGATGAGACCAATAAAACTTAAAGAAGATCGCAAGGATGAAAAAGTCGACATCGAACCCCAGGGAAGTACTGATCAAGAACAAAAGAAAAGGCTCCTTCATTTCTGTGAGAAAGTCATGGAAGCGTTTGACGTGACCTTACTGAAACACCGTCCTTTCCTTGTTTACTGTGTGTCGCTATTCGGTACCTCGCTGGGCAATTCCATGATATTTGTGCACCTTGTAGCCCATGCTCAACACATTGGAGTGGAGAAGACGCCAGCCGCTTTTCTACTGTCAATCTTGGGAATCTCAGAGGCGGTGTCAAGGCCGTTACACGGGTGGCTGTCGGACAGGGTACACATCAGCAAGCTCTACTATAACATGATCGGAAATACCGGACTGGCCATACTTAACTTCGCCATACCGTTCGGGAGAACCTACACGGGCCTTGTGGTGTGCATGGTGTTGTACGGATTTCTCTCAGGCCCATTTAATGCACTCATAGCCGTGATGGTGAAGATGTACAGCAGCGTTTCCAGGATTTCCAGTGGGCTGGGGTGGGCGCTCGTCTTCGAGGGACCCGCCTACCTACTCGGGCCACCTATTGCGGGTGCGCATAGGGTTATCACTTGTCTAATTTCTCTTCATTTACACTATCGGTATCATGCGTCCGTTTCAGGATATGTGACTTGATATGTCTTAAGTAAAATAGTATATATAGAAAACATGTTACAACCAAGGTGAACAATGTTTCCTTCTTCCCACTGCCAGGTTGGCTCTATGACGCAACGGGCAACTACGACATGTCTTTCTACGCGGCTGGTATCTTCATCTTCCTGTCTGCGGTCGTTCTTCTCCTCAATCCTTGTTCAACAACAAGAGGGTCATCCTCACTTAGTTCTAACACCAGTGAGACCAATCAGAACGGAATCAAGATAGTCGCTTTCAGAAATCTGGGTAGAGAAACTGGGAGGATTGACTTATCAGGCCAAATCAACCTTGGTTTTTAGGCATAATTGGTATATTTTAGTGTGTACATGTTGGCAGCACTGCCCAACCCCGCTATAGCGTTTGCACTACTGCGTGGCCCAAGGGCTATAGAAATAGAGATGTACACAGCCTTATACCCCTAAAGGTAGGTTTGAGACGCATTCAAGGAACTGTCAAAAACTTTAAATACAAAGAAATTTGGAGTTTGAATAATTAAGGGGCCTTGTCAGACTCAACCGGCATATATTGACAGACTTTGAAAGTAGAAAAACAGGTCCGGGTTAGCAAGATCTCACCTGAGATTACCTTTGACTCCGTGTCACTCTTGTTATTTATAGTGTAAAAAGACATGGGTGAGATAACATTCTTTAAGGCGGTCACGAAATAGCAGGAGACCTAGTGGCCCGGATCTGGAGACACCTGTATGGGTCAGAGGACTAGAACGACTCTGGGACTAGCTCATCGGATATGTTAACGATACAGGACATTATCCTTGAAGTGTTAACAAAGAGATTAAGCATCAAGCCGATTGGAAGTCTATTGTGCGAGAGAAGAGTTCAGTACGTATACGAGCGAGGAAGGTAAGGCACTGTCAAGTACGGTCTTTCTTATGACATGTCATCGCTTAACTGTTAATCCGTTTTGTACGATAAAACATTATGTATAACCTTAAGAATTTTGTATTCGTATAGCCGGTATAACCGTCCTGGGTGTAACCAGCTTTGTTGCGACATTTGTCCACTCAAGGACGACCGGTACCAAACGACCTTTGTGTCGGTGCCCAAGTCATCGACCTTACGATCGAATCGAAGATCTCATAGCTCCGTGAAATATCTAGAGTTTTTCTATCGAATTCTTATTCATGTTCGTTTTTTTTAATTTCTCACTGATACAACTTTGTCTTTGCCTTTACCCTCCAGCTCCCATAAGGCAACAGGCATGTGTGTGGCAGGAAAAATTCAGCCTAGACAGGATATGGGATAACCTTTTCTGGAACCTTTTGGGCCAGTGATTTCCTGTCAGTTTAAAAGTAAAAGCACAGAAATACAAACACACACGCACCAAAATGTCCAAAGTGCGATCCGCTGACAGACCTCCAGACGGCGGGTGGGGTTGGGTAGTGGTGGCCAGCACGTTCTTTGTCAACATGCTGGTGATCGGGAACATGAAGTCTTTCGGAGTGTTCTTCGCAGAGTTCCGGGAGGTTTTCCAGGAGAGTGCCGGAATCACGTCCTTCATCAGTTCTATCCTAGGAGCTGTGCTGTTGATGTGTTGTGAGTATACATCATACACTGGTGATGCATTGAAGCTTGATGATTGAAGCTTGATCGACCCCCTGACGAGGAATAATAACGATTCGTTAAGTTTTGAAAATAATTCAACGCTACTAATAATAAGATTTTGATGCTTTTTTGATGGAAGGACATCCAAACAAAAGTGAAGACCAAACGGTAGTCGACCCTTAAGATTAAGGGTTACATGACTATAAGCCACTCTACTCGGCTTTGATAGACGCTAATGCACAATCTCTGCCAGGTAAGTATGCCTGACCATGATGCGCAATCTTACAGCTGTGTTTGCCGGTGCTCTGAGCAACCTGACCAGCTGCCGTACTGTGATCATCACAGGGGGCGTCATTTCTGCCGTGGGGCTTGTCGTCAGCTTCTTCGCACAGACGATGATACACCTGTTCTTTAGTGTGGGGGTCCTCACAGGTCAGTGTTGGTCTGCCCCGGTGTGTTTTTCGATCATTATGAGATGTTCATATATCCCGACAAACATATGGAGGTTTGCCAACTTACAAAAAGGTCCGAGGAAAGATTTCATTTGAGTAAAGAATTCCTTAATGCTACATCTGGTTCATCCATGCCAAGGTTAACAAGTTTTTAAAATCTATAATTACATTATTCAGGATTCGGGTTGTCCCTGATGTTCTCACCAAGTCTGGCTATGATTGGACGCTACTTTGACAAGCGGCACGCCACAGCCAATGGGATCGGAGTTTGTGGAACGGGGATTGGCATCTTCGCTTTTCCCCCACTCTACCAGTTCCTCATCGACGAATTTGGGTGGAGAGGGGCTTTACTGATTGTGGCCGGCATACCATTGAACGGCTGCGTCTGTGGTGCCCTGATGAGACCCATACATCTCAAAGAGGATCGCAAGGAGGAAAAAGCCAGCATCGAAACTCAAGGTAGTACTGATCAAGAATCAAAGAAAGGGCTCCTTCATTTCTGTGAGAAAGTCATGGAAGCGTTTGACGTGACCTTACTGAAACACCGCCCTTTTCTTGTTTACTGTGTGTCGTTATTCGGAACCTCGCTGGGGAACTCCATGATATTTGTGCACCTTGTAGCCCATGCTCAACACGTTGGAATGGAGAAGACGCCAGCCGCTTTTCTACTGTCGATCTTGGGAATCTCAGAGGCGGTGTCAAGGCCGTTACACGGGTGGCTGTCGGACAGGGTACACATCAGTAAGGTCTACTATTACATGATTGGCAATACCGGACTGGCCATACTCAACATCGCCGTACCGTTCGGGAGAACCTACGCGGGCCTTGTGGTGTGCATGGTGCTGTACGGATTTTTCTCGGGCAGTTTTAACTCACTCATTGCTGTGATGGTGAAGATATACAGCAGTGTTTCAAGGATTTCCAGTGGGCTTGGGTGGGCGCTTCTATTCGAGGGGGCTGCCTACCTACTCGGGCCACCCATTGCAGGTGCGCACAGGATTATCACTTGCCTATTTCTCTTCGTTTACACTCTCTTAGTGTCAGGTACACAAAATAAAGAATTAAGAAATTAATAAATACTAGAAATTGATACCTACTCGGGCCACCTATTGCAGGTACTCAGAGGATTATCACTTGCCTATTTCTCTTCGTGTGCACTTTTTTTAGTGTCAGGTACACAAAATAAAGAATAAAGAAATTAATAAATATAGCTATATAGAAATGGGCCAACTATTTTGTCGTTCATCCACTGCCAGGTTGGCTCTATGACGCAACGGGCAACTACGACATGTCTTTCTACGCGGCTGGTATCTTCATCTTCCTGTCTGTGGTCGTGCTTTTCGTCATTCCCTGTTCAACAACAAGAGGGTCATCCTCTCTTAGTTCTGACACCAGTGAGACCAATCAGAACGGAATCAAGATAGTCGCCTTCAGAAATCTGGGTACAGAAACTGGTAGGAGTGACTCATCAGGCCAAAGCAACCCTGGTTTTCAGGCATGATGGGTATATACTATATACAAGTAGGTTACATATGGGTGTAACCTACTAGTGCAGGCTAGCCCCCGCTGTAGCGTTTGCACGACTGTGTGGCCCAAGGGCTATAGGCAGAGATGTACACAACCCTAAACCCCAAAGGTGTGAGTCGGATCCGTTTATCCGTCAAAGTGGTAGTAAGTACAAGTGACTGGGGTTTGATTTTTATCACCACTGGAAGAATATGCAGGCGTCTATCAGTAGAAGGCGT